AAAGGAGCCCCGCCGGTAATGGCGGCGGCAGGGGTGGGGATTTTCGGCCGATGGACCCAAGTGGTGGCGTTGGAGGAGATGTAAGATCTAGGCCGATGGTTGGTTCTGACGGCGGCGGCGGCAGCGGCCGTGGAGGATTTCGGCCGGCCGGATCCGGAGGGTTTTCGGCGACTAGGGATCCAGGCGGAGGAGGATACGGTGGCGTAGAGATGGGATTTCAGTCAACGAACAGTGGTAGTAGAGGGTTCGAGTCTGAGTATCCTCTGAGACCAACACCACCGCCGGTGGTGCAACAGCCTCTGTCTGGTCAGAAAAGAGGGTTCCCTTTCACCGAGCATGGCAGTTCTCCCGGAACTGGTAAGCCTCTGTGTTGATTTTATCTTCAGTTGGTGGAACAGCTATTCGTAAAATTCTTTGATCTATGAGTCCTTTTCTTGTTTCTGAATTGGTGTAGGCTTAGGCTATCATAACAGTGTTTTTAGGGTAACTTAAATGCGTTTTTAACTTAGTTATTGAAGGCATTCCATGTGGCAGTTGTTTGAGCCTTGATTGTGAGTAAGGAAGGAGTTCCTTCAGCTGTGATAATGGTTTATTGTTCTTCTTTGTTATACGCAAATATGTGAAAATTTTGGGGTAACTTAAATGTGTTCCATGTGGTAGTTGTTTGTGCCTTGAATCTTGATTGTGATCTTTGATATAGTGATTGGGGTTCCTTCAGCCGTCAGAATGGTTTGTTGTTTCTGCTTTGTTCTAGGCAAATATGTCAACATTTCAAGACAACTTAAATGTGTTCCATGTGGTAGTTGTTGGAGCCTTGATTGTGATGTTCTCATTTTTCACATGTGATGTTTTTACGGGTGATGCTTCTCATTCTAATGTTTGATTGTCTCCCTTTGCTTATTATTTCTTTGCAGACCTTTCTGATCACGGCAGTTTCATCAAGCTTTTTGTTGGTTCCGTACCAAGGACAGCTAGAGAAGAAGACGTGAGTCAAGATGGAATTTATATGTTCTTTTTATTTTAGTGTTGCTGCCATGTTTTTTCTTAACCCATGTCATGTTGAGATTTTAGAGTTTTCCTAATTTCTGTGTTTCTGACTCCAGATTCGCCCTTTTTTTGAGCGACATGGAAATGTTCTTGAGGTAGCTTTGATCAAGGACAAGAGAACTGGACAACAGCAAGGTATGTATGTTTTTATTTTGCCAGGGAATAGTTTTCATTTGTACTTGTTTGAATTTCAGGTCTCCTGAAAAGTTGCTGATGAGAAGCAACCTTAGTTTCATTGTTGGCCTCCGTTTGTTTGCAACAAGTTTCCGGCTTGTTGGTTATGCTTGCAGGCATCTTGTTTGTATTCAGTCCTTTCAAACAAGAAGGCTGCCTTGTAGCTTGCTAAAAAGGAGTTCATGGAAATTTCGGGTAGTGGGTTTTTTCTACTTGTAGCAATCCTAGGGGTCTCTGATAGCTGTAGCTCATATTGTTCCAGTGTGATTGAGAGTTGGAGTTAATGTACATACAGTATGAACAATTGTTGGACGTTACGTTATACCTGTGGGTTTTGGTTTACAAAGCATCGATGATTTCCTCGCCATCTTGGTCCCAGTGGATTGTCTTTTTCTTTCTCTTCCTTGAATGAATTGAGATGTTGTGTTTGACTCACTCTCCCTTGTTTTTTTTTTTTTTTATTTTTTATTTTTACATTTGGCCTTTTAAGAATCAATGTATCGTGGTGGATGTTAGACACTCACCTTTTTTACACTATATACGTCCAAGTTTGGATGTGTTGTCTTTATCGGCTGTTGATGGAATTTCTGGGATTCTCTTGGATGGCCTGACGTGGCATGAATGTGTGTCTTTCTTTTGCTTTTCCGGATGACTTGAGAAGCTACGATGTCATGTCAAGATCTTATCTTCTTCCTTTCTCATTGATGACCTGTGATCTGTTTTTGGTGTATGATCTTTTGTTCCTTTTGATTAGATGGGTTTGTGATGTACAATACTACCTCTCCCCAAAAACAGAATGATGAATGAATGAATGAATGAATGAATGAATGAGTGAATGAATGAATGAATGAATGAGTTGAGTGGTTCTTAGTTTTCTGAATGTGTTTTCCATTGTGAATCTGAGTTGCAGACAGCGATAATCCATATTTCATAATTTATGATATAGATGTCTGATGATAGATGATAGGTATCTACAAGCCCTTGTGGTTTCTTATGCTTGATTTAGTCCCCAATGGGTGGCTATACCTTGAAGGTTTGATGCTCTGTGTCCTTTACACTGCGTTAGGGATCTGTGCTTCAATTGTTTGTCCATTGGTGTTAAGAATTATCAAATTGTAGATACCTGATTGTTTATGTTTTTGCAACTTTTACCACTTTACGGGTAACTAGTTTTTGTTGGCATCCTGTTTGCCGGTGTACATAGTAGTGTGTGACCTAAATGCTGTAGGATTTCTGGGCTTGACATGGAATGACAGATTATTTGCTCGTCTCCAATTTTCACTGTAATGTGTCTGTCAAAGATCCGCAACTGCATTTGTGGTGCCTCTGGATTTTATGATGCAGATGTCATCTTTCTGTTTTCATTATGGTTCCTGCTCTTTGTGTTAATTCATTCCTATCTCTGAAAGGACTTGGTCAGTTGGTCTAGCTTGTTGCCTTTTCATATACTCCACTCGGATGTATTACACTATCATGTCTGGCAACAGCATTACTTCATTGGTCTAGAAAGGAGACTGAGGCGTGTCTGGATTTTTAATCTTTCTTCTGAACTTGTGTGTTTAGTGCAATGCTGTTTTTGCCAGATCGTGGGTGTTTGGTTTGTAAATTTTAATGCCAACTTTGACTGCGTTTTGGTACTACTTGATGTTGATAGAGGGGAATTGCGAACTTTAACATACAGTTCAAGTAAATACTCTTTAATGCAGGCTGTTGTTTTGTAAAATATGCAACCGTTGAAGATGCCGATAGAGCCATTAGAGCATTGCACAATCAGATCACTCTTCCTGGGGTAATTGTCGCTGGTGCTTCTCTTTCTAGAAATTGACAATCGCAGATAATTTCACTTGCTATAAGTTGTTCATTCTCAGGGAGTCGGCCCTATTCAAGTTCGGTATGCTGACGGCGAAAGAGAACGCCTAGGTAATCTTTGAAACATGTAACTTATTGTAGGTCGAATTCTGTGGTGTACACGGGATTGTATATATTTTGCGTAAATTCAAACTGCTAGAATTGCAATTTTGCATAACCTATCTTGTTCGTAAAAATATTGATCTTGTTTATTCTCTTTTTTCTCCTCATTTCTGACTTTTCCTCATGCTTGTGATAGGTGCACTGGAGTTTAAGTTGTTTGTTGGATCGCTGAACAAACAAGCATCTGAAAAGGAAGTTGAGGAGGTATGTCTCATATCCCACCGTTAGATTCCCTGGTAGAATTTCACAATTAATGCCTGATTAGTAGAACAGAGAAAATTTGAGTAGATTTTACTGTTGTGCAGTATTGATCCGATACTGATGTTGTCCATGTTATTTTTACAATTTTTTTTGGGCCCTTAGGTCATTTGTTGATATAATAGTGTCCTCTGTACCTGCGAATATCTGCTTATGAAACTTATTTGTTTATCTCTTCTTTTAAATGGATTATACTGTTTGCATGCATTGTTTGTATTTCTTAAAACTAAAATTGATAAAACGATGTGGGTAGTTGCCTTGTTGTTAAGTTATCTGTCATGGAAATATTTGGTGATCTTTGCCACCGTTTATGCTTTTCCAGATCTTTTCACAATTTGGCCGTGTGGAAGATGTTTATCTTATGCGAGATGAATATAGACAGAGTCGCGGTATGTGGTTTAATTCCTAATGTTTCTATGATAATCCTGCATCAGTGATGGCGTTGTCGATAGTTCTAGATTTGTATAATATGCCAACCCAGTTTTCGTTTGTGTCAAATGTGTTTGTCTTTTGCTTATTTAGGATGTGGATTTGTAAAATATTCAAACAAAGAAACGGCAATGGCAGCCATCCATGGTCTTAATGGAGTTTATACTATGAGAGTAAGTCTCGCTCACACTGAATATCTCTTTTCACTTTTTATCTCCCTTTGTCGCCATTAAGTATTTTTTTTTCTTTTGTTCACTTTTCTCAAATCTTTTGACAGGGGTGCACTCAGCCATTGACTGTCCGGTTTGCTGATCCAAAGCGACCTAGACCTGGCGAATCAAGGTATCACCCTGGAGACTACTAATTCATTTTCATATTCTTACCACCATGCCTGTATGTGCTATTTGTTTCTCCTGTCTGTACATGTAGGAGAACTATTCTAGTTGTAAAGAAACAGTTCCTAAATGATTGTCTGGAGAAGTGGGTTCGTCTGTAAATTTCTGCACTTAAGTGCCGAGGATGTTGTAAAGAAGATGACAAACGGATTAGACTAGAATGGGGAATTGAAAAATAAGCCAATGGGAAACTCAGTCCCTTGCTATATTTTCTTGTATGTTTTCTGCACAAGAGTTACTGGAAATATTTGCAACGGATACTTTGCAAAGAGATAAGGAAAATATCAGATTATACAATGAATTCAAACGGCTAAGAGAGTAAAATGGGAAGTGCATCTGCTGATTGTAATCTTTGGAGCAGAATAAGGCATGTCTTGAGCTGATTGTCGTGATTTCCTTCGCTTATTATTGTTTGCTGTTTATGTGTAGATTCTTGATTTGAGCCTTCATTCTTGCCCTTGATTTGAATAACTCAATTGTGCAGATTTCTTGTAGATTCAGGTCTAATCAATTCACATGAGCACATGAGATGTTGAGCAACACAAGTCAGGTGTTGCTGAACATAATTGTGTCTGTGTGTTGTGTGTCTGTCTTGCATGTCCGTGGCTGTATCTTGTATATCCGTGATTGTCTTCGTGGCTGTGGCTGTCCGTGTCGGTAGCGTGGCCATCTGCATTGTCTATTCCAACATCATCTCTGTCTTCTTCAACACAATTGAATTGAATTTCTGAAACAATGCATTTTATGTTTTTCTAAACTAGTTTATGTTTTCAGAGACACTGTACCTGCCGGCGGACCTGGTTCAGGGCCTCGATTTCAAAATCCGATATCAAGGTAACTTAATGGAAAATAATAGCTTGGTTCAGTAAAGTTATATTCTACTTTTTGAATTCGGTTTACTTGTCATTATTTTATAGGCCCTTGTCGAACTCTGGAGAGCCCATTGGAGACGGAGTCCAAACAAATCCTTGGCGTCCAATGAGCTCACCGAACATAGGTCCACCTCCTAATTATGGGGTTCGTGGGCTTGGGATTGACTTTATTTCCAGGCCTGGCGGTCAAGGAACATTGCCTTCAAATGTGGTGAGAACATCTTAACGATCATCTATCTTCGTTTGTCTAATGCATTCACACGAGTGGGTAGTTTGTCTGCCATGCTCACAGGCATGTGGGCTCGTGAAGAGGAGCTTGGGGACCCTCATCCCCATTTAGTCTTTTATGTCTTTCATGTGATGTTAGAAATCATGCCTTGATATGATGCTGTTGATTTACCGGTTTATGCCATGTTATTGCTATTTGTTGATTTCTATATATTTTCTGATTATGGAATTTCTTTTTCTATGTCCCTTTGTACAACCTGTTTATAATTAAAAGTTCTGATAGTTTTGATGCCATCCGATAACGTTAGGGTGGGCCCTCGGGTGGCTATGGTGTCCCTCCTCTTAATCCTCTTCCCATCCCGACAGCTTCGTCTTCTGCCACAATGCAACAGGTATTTGAGGGCTCTATCTTTCACTTCCTTATCTCACAAATCTTATATCTGTCATGATTGTGTTGGTATTTGTCTGTTCCTACAAAACAGCAATTTTCTGCTAATAGCCAGCATGTATCACCTCTGCAGAAGTCGGTTCAATCCCCACAGGATATTCCCCGTTCTCTTCAACTCCAGTCAAGGGTGCCTGGTGCTCAGGTTTCCTTAACTCAGACGGCAGCTCCACAGAACCCATATGGTTACGGCAGCCATTTACCTTCTTCTCACCCACTACCTCAGCAAAGTATCTCTCCTGCAACTGCGCCTCAAGCACCTTTGAACGTCAACCTACGACCAACTTTCGTCTCCTCTGCAACTGATCAATTGCCTGCTCATGATCAGCAGCAACAGCTGCAGCAAATGCAGCAGCCTCCTTCTCAGTTAGCTCAGCTGTTGTCACAGCAAACACAGACTCTACAAGCAACCTTCCAGTCCTCTCAGCAAGCTTTTTCTCAACTGCAGCAGCAGTTGCAGTCCATGCAGCAACCTAACCAAAGTTCATCAGTGCCGCAGAATAACCAAGCTGGTAAACAGCAGGTGCAGAAAAATTTATTTACTTAGTATCTCTTGGTTTGAGTTCAAACGCTCAGTTTTCTATGGATCTTGATCTCAATTTCTCATATTATTTTGGGAAAGACATCTCATAGTTCATAACTCGAGATGTGTTTCTGCAATATGTGCTTATTTTCTCAAATGTGTATGGCTGTTTTGCTATTAGTGGCCTGGAATCGGGATACAGACGGTTGGAAGCACTGCTGGATTTACACCAGTTGGCGATGTGCCTTCAGCTGCATCTACAATAAGTCAGTCTGTAGCAACTGTCAGATGTAACTGGACGGAGCATACATCGCCTGATGGATTCAAGTACTATTTCAACGGTGTAACGCATGAAAGCAGGGTAACTTATTTCCTCTTCATCTATTCTCTCTGAGTTTTCATTCCTCGAGATGTGTTATAATATTTGTCTCGACTTTTCCAGTGGGAAAAACCAGAGGAAGTGGTTCAGTTTGAACAGCAGCATCAACAGCAGAAACAACCTGTACAGCAGATACAAACCCAATTACATCGGCAGATTCTGCATTCCCAGCAGGTGACACAGCAACCACAACAGGTTCACCAGCTTCAAACACAATATCACGACCATCAGCAGTCACAGCAATCCTTGTATTCCTCATCGGTTGGTCTCCCATTTGTGTGTTTACCTGTGGGGTAAAGGTTCAAGTAATTTTGGACACCACCTCTTAACTTGATTTTCTCCTTTGACTTTGGAATTGCAGTATCCAACGCCAGGGGTTGGTCAACATGCTCAGGTATATATCTACAATATTTTGTGTACTGGTCTATCACTGCATGTTTTGATTCTCGAGTTACTATTTGGGTCTTTATCTGACAGAATGTGGTTGATTAAGGACTTTTATCGATGCATGTTTACTAATTGACGCAAATATCCGATTTTTTTTTTGCACCACTTTTTTTTCCAATGTTTTAGATAGAAAAGTAACATTGCGCTTGTTATCTTCAACTCTAACACTTTTTTTCATTTGAAATGCAGAATCAATCATCTGGGGTGGGGCAAACGGCACAGGTATATATCGTATTCTGCGTACTCATGTCTTGCTGTGTGTTTTGATTCTTAGTTACTACTTGGACTTCTTGGATGTTAGATATTATATTAAGGATTTACAGGAATGAACGTGAAATGAATTGGATTAGGCGTACTTTTGCATATGTTTTAAAAGCAACACAGCTTCTATCCGTGTTGTCTGTAACCTGAAAATTTTGTGTGTATCATTTCTAATTTGGTTGTCTTATTTTCCTTTGGAATTGCAGTATCCTGTCTCAAGAGTTAGTCAAAATGCCCAGGTATGTTGTAGATTAAGGCGATTCATCACTAATCTATGTGTGCTTAATGGGGCATAGTTTTGCCGGCATTATGTAAAGAAATAAAATGTTATGCATATCATCTCTAACTAGAGTATCTTATATTGTCTCCATCTGGGAATGCAGTATCTGGTGTCAGGGGTTGGCCAAAATGCTCAGGTATTGATATTATTTTGTGTATGCATCTCTCATCGCATCTATTGATTCTACTTGTTTTTTCAGCTGATGGTATGTAAACCGTAGTAGATAAAGACAGACACTGATGCATGTATATTTTATGAATCCGTAAATCTGCCGACTTTTTATGTTAAGAAAGCTAAGTGACATGACAACAATCCGTGGATCATCTCATGCAGTTCATGTGTTTGATCTACCAACATATATGCCTCTCTGACATGAGATTTCATGTGTTCACGTGTCTTACAAAAAAAGGCCGTAGAGATCTGCAAGTGTATTGCTTATCTTATTACGTACACGGGTTATCCAGGAATATGGTCGAACACAGATACCAGTGGGAGATGCTTCAGTCAAGAATCCAGCACACATCCAACAAGTATCTATATGATTTATGTTCAATTGATATGAATCCTGACAGTTTATAAATCTTCTTTTTGTATTGTACAATTTATGGACCTACATTTGATCCTTTTAAAAACATAACTATCTGGTCTTGTGCAGGGCTATCAGTCTACTCAGGAATTTATGTGGAAAAATAAAGCATCAGGTTCAGATTACCCTCTCACATTCTGTCTTTGGTTTCTGAGTTGTTCCATAAAAAAAACTTAGCATATTTCTGTGGCTTTAGTTTCTTTTTTAAAATAATAAGGATAACTATGATCCAATTTTCAAAATTTGAATGAAAAATTTTCTGCGCAGGTACATGAAACAGAGGAGCGAAATCTTTTAGAAACTGTTGAAGTAGAGCTCTTGATTTAGGTTCAACGGCCCAGGTATGAGTGAATCCGTCTACCGTTCCAACTCTATCTTTGCAGTATTTAGTCCCTTAGAATTTCTTCCCCCCATCAACTATATTCCAAAATGAAAGGAAAATGTTGAGTTAGGAGCGATTAGTCTGTGTGAGAGTTGTAACATATTCAGTTTGACCTCTGTTGTCAGTAAGAGTAGTTAAGCCGGCTTTACATAAGATTTCTTCCCTCCCTCATATATCATATTTGTGTACATCTTGGTCAAATAATGCTAGCTCTCTCTAAGAGTCTTGTGTTTTTTCCTTCCATCTTTTAGCTTGTGATTTTAAATATATGTGCATGTACTTGTATGCTCTTTGGTTCTAAGATATATATCATAGTAAATGGGTTTTCTGGTGGAGCCCTATGTTTTTCTTTGACATGCATGTCTGAAGTCCAGACATGTTTTTTTTTTCTTCATATATGCCAAATATTTATAACATTAGCCTGCTTTTTTTCTCCTTAAAATCATCTCTTTGTGGCCTAATATCTCTTAGAAGCTGTTAACAGTCCTACAATCCCTCCTAATCTCACCATCGTTGTTGTCAGTTCCGGATAAAGCTCCCATTTTGACCATAGCATTCTTGAAATCTTGGAAGAACACAGACTGATCTTCTGCATAGGTTTCGACAATCGACCTGGTTTGAGGGTCTTGAGCCACAAGTGCTTGGTCAGAAGGAAGAAGCCCCTCACCGGAGAGGAGGTTGATGAAGTAACGGTTGTCGAAAGTGGAAGGAGTGGCCAAATCCAGATGGGTGATCGCCGCTGCTGGATCAACACTCGAGCATATCTGCTGGAGAGACTCCAGGAACTCGAGGTTGTCTCCTTGGCTTGCTGCTGCTGTTGGCTGTAGCCTTGCCGCAAATGAAGAGCAACGTGCCTTTCCCAGTGTATGGGCACCTTGTTTGTGTTTTTTTTTTACCAAAAAAAGGTAAGTTATTCGAATCTCACAAAAACACAAATGGGTTTTGACCTTTCTATAAAGAGCGATGGGGAATACAGACCGGAAAGAGCAACCATGTCGGAAGGAGATAGGCCGAGCTTTTGGAACATGGAGATGAGAATTGGTGCTGTTGAATTGGGCGATGGTAGGCTGCTTGCTGCTGCTGTTTTGCTCGCTGTTTTTGCATCCTTTCTTCCAAGCTCGACTTCCCAACTCGGCCCTCCTCTCTTCATTCAACTCAACCATCGGTTTCGTATTAAAAAAAATTTACTCAACTTGATAGATTATTACGTGTTAGGATATATATATATATACACACACGAAACCCAACTTACCAGAATGACAGAATCACGGGCGGCCATTGCAAGAATGTCGGCGCAAGATACAGTCTCCGGACAGACGGACTCAATCTCCGACTTGATTGTGTCAATGACTTCGAAACCCCTTAGAGAGTTGAGATTCGGTGGCGCCGTTTTTTCTCCCTCGAATCCTTCATTGTCATCCAACAGCACCGATGCATCACATCCCTGCACCACTGACACCCTAAAATTGGTTCCAATCTTTTGGTGGAAATTAAAAGGAGAAAGTAGGAGAAGCAAAGAGAAACTCGCATTGACAAAGCAGTCGTGGAAATGGAGGCGGAGAAGAGAAGCTGCCATTCTCAAATCACGAGAGACAGCGTCTTCCACCCACGCGTATACGATAGATTCGGCTTCAGGGCAGCTACGACGATACAAACCAAACTCAAGAACCATATTGAAACCTATATGGACGTCTAAACCACCATCTTCACATGTTTTGTTGAATCTCAGTGGACTTGTGGTGGCTCCCGACATTGCAACAGCCGCCACCATTGTCACTACAACGAACAACTCAAACGGTTTCATGGGTTTATCCGAGTTTTTTTTTTTTTTGGTTTCTTAATTTATTCGATTTGGAGTTGTGCAAGTTGGTACCAACGATAGAGTTACAGCGCAGTTAGTGTGTAAGCATGTGTTGTGTATATATATACATGTGTTGTCTACGTATATGTGCACCGTGTATTACTGCAGTTGTACTGTAAAAGTAGGTTAGAAAGGAAGAATTCAAAAGGTGGAAATGGTCTCTGCTTGCGTCGTTATATTTTGTTGATCTTCTCCAAACAATATGAACTCATTCTTCCCCCCTTTTTTTTTCTTGCTTCAAAAGTTATACAATGAAACTCTTCATTTATTTATTTATATATTTTGTAATTCATTAAGCAACAATAATGGTTTTATTTGGTCTACAATTCTGAATCGATTGGTTCGCCTCTCATTAATAGAAGAGGTACGTACGAATGGTGCTACCCACAGAATGACGACATTAAGACGATGCTGAACAAGTATGGCGAATGGAATCTACGAAGTATATTCGCTCTCCGTGTACGGTCATTGCTTCCTCTACGAAGTATGTGAAGAAGTATGGCGAATGAATCTGAATGTGCATGGATACCATATTTGTTAAAGGCATGACATAGTCCTCGATGAGACTTGGTCAATCTGTTTTCGTGTGGTCCTCTTTGGGTTTAGTAATTCCTTTACGATCCCGCCATGTGTGTGTATATATATATATTGATTTAAAAAAAATTAGGTTCTATATACACATATATACGTATAGTGTTACATGTATATATGTATATATGTATATATGTAGCAGTCGAAATCGGTGAGGAGAGAAAACCAAGGGGAAAATGAGTTCAGGAAAATGCTGATGGGATGCCATGGAATGAAAGTCCACGCGCCTCAGTTGCCGCAACACATGCGCGTGTGGTTTGATGGTGTTCCAAATCATATGTGACTCGGCCAGCCCTTATGGGCTTTAAACCCCCGATACGGCCCACAAAGCTCAATTTTGCAGTACCACTTGGGTTAGTACAATGCAGATGAGCCTCAATTTTTAGCATAAAAATAAATTATATAACCAAAATATTATAATTACAATTAGCGAAAATTTTAAAATGAATGTATTTTTAGTTTAAAATTAATCAAACAATAAATGTTTTTAGACATTTTGGTAAAAAGGGTTATATTAGTTTAATTTTTTAGCAAAAAAGAACAGAAAAAGTGTCATTTTACAAAATTGCTTAAAATCCAAGTCATTTTTAACTATTCCTTTTTATGACACAAGTACACGAGTTTATATCTACTTACATGCATTTAAGCATAGAATGCACAGAAAACAAATGTATGTAATACGATATAATAGCTATATATTTCCAAATGAATGGTCTATCTAATTAATTAGTTGTTGGATGACCCAATCTAGGTAGTTTAACCGGTGAAATGGGGCGCAAAACGTCTGTCCCGTCTCGAGTTCGAACCCCAGGTTAGGGAGAGAGCGCATAATTCAAATCACATGGTTGGCTCCCGGCCCCGGAATTAGTCTATACCTCGGTCCAAAAAACCCGGTTATCCAAAAAAAATTAGTCGTTGGATGATTAATCAATTATGCATGTGGGTATATACAAATGCTACAGACGGCCCCAAACAAACCAAATCTGCAACCACAGAGTCCATACCAAAGCCCTTGAAATTGATATAATATGGGCCTCTTGGTATTAGATGAGGCCTCAAACCCATTCTAGCTTTAGGCCCATCTTAGATGACGTGTTCTATCTCTTTCAATATTATATTTACACAATCAATGCTAAAGTAAGGCCTTAAAAAAACGAAAAAGTGGAATGTTAGTGCTGAAGAAAGAAATCCACTAATCCAATAGGCTTATAGGTTAGATAGTACTAGTGAAATAGGCAAACACCAATTATATTATTACACAACAAACATATCATTGGTGCTATGACTGAAGTTTAATACATATATAGAGGCATAAATTTCATTAGAAATGTGCCTTTTATTATATATTAAATTTTATTTACCATTCCATTTTTAAAATATATATTTTAGTAAAGAACAAAAGATCTTAGAGACACATTCTCTACACAATGGTTACAAAATTACTATTTATATGCCTTTTTGATAAAGAGACTGTCTCCCGGGGCCTACCCACGTGGGCTTTATATAGCTTTAGACAAAGTCCTCCTTTTATTTGTTTATTACCCAAATCCTTTTGTTAGAGAAAAAAAATAGCAATAAAAATCATATGATCGATATAATTAATGTAAACCAGTAACAGCATTATTTCCCATGAACAAACCCACATATTTCAATGCAAATGATATTTACCACATCTAAGCATTTTTATTGAAGCTCAATCCAAAGTTTTTCATGTTTATGATGTATAGATAACATTTGGGGGACATCATTTTGGATAAAATTAAAGAGAGCGAAATGAAATGTATTAATTGTGGGAGTTGATAACACAAAGCACACGCGTGTGGACCAACGGGACATGCCAACGTGTGATAGAGATGGGATGTTTGGTTTTGATGGCAACACCATTGCCTGTCTATTACGTTTACATGCATGCATGCATGCATACATACATACATACATACATACATACATACATACCATGCATGCATAGAGCAGTGGCAGCAGCAGCTGCTCAACAAACAACGCTATCAGTCCAAAGATTTCATTGTCTAAACTTTTGTTCGGAGGGCAATGCATATCCATGTGCATGTTCAATTAAATGGGAAACAATAAAAAAAATTCGAGTGGATGGACACAGATCCACACAACATGTGTCAGAACACAATGAATGAAAGCATTATTAAAAGACTCTTCTTTTCATGACCAATGCCACTGTTTTATTACCTAATTATGTATGTATGTATGTATGTATCGGTCTTCTTTTTCAAAGACATTGGCCATGAAAAATAAAAGTGAGAAAGATTCTCTGTATAGGCAGGCAGGTGTCTGTGTATATGTTGGAACTCAAGACGAAATGTGTGTATCATATTTTACAATTCCTTAGAACAATCAATGGGGTTTTTGGATACAGTGGCTGAACATACCAACAAGTAACACACTTCACAAAATCTAAAAGGGTTTGTGCTCACAAATAACTGAACTATTAAAAGACAAAATCTTGTATGTCCACCCACCGTTCTTACCTACACATATTTCCTCGTTGTTACAATGCCGTAACAAAAACGACAAAAACACATTAATTTCAACTTCGGCTGTAAAAGAAAACACGGCATGCTCCTGTGACCAAATACGTTATTAGAACGCATCTATGTTTATCTTTAATTGGAAGAGAAGTTAATGTGGTTAGTTGCTACTTTGCTGTATTGCCTTATGAAGAAGAGATGGAATAACACGGGAAAAAAAAAACTTTTATTCAGATTACAGAAAAATACTTGCCCTGTTCATTCTCTCTCTTTTTTTTTTTTTGGGTTCATATTAGGGGTTCAAGAAAGGATATACATGAAGGGTGATTAGGGGGAGGTTGAATCATAATATTCAAATAGCAGAAATACAAGAGAACGAGACTTTTTTTAATTTGGAAAAAAAAAAAGGAACCAAGGAAAGTGACAGTTGGACCACTAACCGATCATATGTGCTTGTTCCCCGTCATGAGCTGGCGGTGGTAGTGGTGGTGGGGGCGGCGGTGAAGGCGAAGTCTGCAGCGGTGCCGAGCTTGAACCGACGGCATCGAGTATGGCCGTCATGGCGCGAATCTGCATCTGCATCGCCGCTATGTAATCTGTGGTTTCCTCCAGAACCACCGGCAACGGCTGTTTCCGGCAACCCGGAACTAACCGGCTAAGCACCTTTACCTTCCTCTGCACAGCCGGTATACTCTTTTTCCCCTTCAGCCTCAGAACCGTCGCTCTCTGCTTCCTTGACTGGCAACTGCCGGTTACCGGCGCCGTCCCGAGATTCGAAATTCTCGGCCGCTTACGCTTTCTGAACTTGAGCTTCACAGATCTGCTCGCCAACAAAGCTCGGCTCCACAGCATTCTGCCCCTCGCCGTTACCGCCAGGGCCCTATCGGCGACTTCCCGAACGGCTCGACCGCCGCGAGGCGTCTCGCCTTTCCCGCCAGGGCCCTATCGGCGACTTCCCGAACGGCTCGCCCGCCGCGAGGCGTCGAAGATTCCGGAGACTGACTAATCCGGAGCTCCCTCAGAGCCTGGACGAGCTTCGTCGAATAGATCTGCTGTTGCTTCTCCGATCTCCATCTCTGAAACGATGCCCCCGGCGGCGGCGGCGGCGGAGTTTGCAACGGCGGTTGTTTCTTCTTCCGCTTCCGCCGAGCGCGATCGGAACGTGAGCTTGACGGCGGCTGAATAAGCAGATCTGATATCGGAGACAAGGAAGACGCCATATTCTCTTTTCCTTATCCTCTCTGTAAAGACCCTGAGATATCACCCGTACGATTCCGAACAATTCGATCAAATGAAATCAGATTAACAAAAACAGATCGGAATCCGTCAAATTCGAACTGTTCGATCCGATTCCAGGATATACAGAGACGAATCCGAAACGAAGAAACAGAGAAAACGAGATTAGAGAAGGATAAACGGGGACGATTAAGAGAGGATTAAGGTTAACTTACCGATTGGAGATGGAAGGAGATAGAGGAGAGAGACGGAGAACGGAACGGGACGGGGAAGGAAGGTGAGGTGTCAGTAGAAGAATCCTTTTTTTTTTTGCAAGGGAATCACTTTTTTTTATATGCCAACATCGTCATCCATCATCATATGCTTCATATGCTATGCACTCACCTCACCACCGCATTATCATATATTTTATTTTTCTTATATATTTACCATTATCAATACGATGCTACTTCGTTATCATATGCCATGTGTACATTTTGTATTCCTAAGAAAATAATAATACTTCTTCCCGTTTCAAAATATTTATAGTTTTAGATTATTTTCTATGTTTCAAAATATTTGTAGTTTTATATTTTTAAGATATTTTTTTATAATAATTTCCAATTTTATCCCTACCAAATTCCAATACATTATTAATGATTACATTGTTTTTATCATCAAATAAGGGTATATATGATTTTTGATCAATTTCTTTAAAAGTGAAACAATTTAAAACAATAAATATTTTGAAACGGAAGAGAGAGAGTAGTAGACAAATAAATATAAACAGGATAATAATTTTCGAAAACATTAATTGGGCTGGGCCTAACTAGGAAATGCTTTGATAGGCTTTTTTTATAATTAAGGCCCGTTTTATTATTTCGCTGCCCCACCGAATACAAAAGCCTAATTTCCCGAATTTCACTCATATAAATTGCATCTTCTCTCTTTTTTTTTTGTAAGATAAAGAAAGTTTTTTTTTTGGTAATCGAATTTCTTAGACCAAGGTCCAAACTAATTTCGGGAGAAACAACTATATGATTTGGAATATACACCCCCTCTCCAAATTTGAAATTCGAAATCGAAGCGACTATCCAAATTTGGGTAGAAATAGAAAGAGTTATCTATATGTTGAAGCAAATAATATCATGCACATGAAGCAGAGATGATAACTTACGCAATGGTGATGATGATGAGGAAGAAGAAGAAGAAGAAGGAGATATTATTGAATGCAACAGTAACATATATATGTTGAAGTTAACCTAATTAAGCATTAAATTTGGGGGGAGGGGGGTAAAAATAAGTTTGGAAACATTTCCACATATAACACAACGTGCCTGCGTGGGGAAGTTTTTTCTTCTTTCTAATGCCCAGAGGAAAATGGGGGAGAGAAAAGGGTATAGAGTGGCGGTGGTGGTGATGATGATGATGATGATAATGCTGCATGGAACGGAGGGGGGGTTCTGGTCAGATCTGTTCAGCAAGACGAGCACCGTGACGCTGATAAACGAGGCGGAGAGAGGGAAGACGATGACGGTGCATTGCAAGGGAAAAGGGGGAGATCTTGGCGTCAAGAAGATCGGGTATGGAAAGGCGTGGGAGTTCCCCCTTACGAGGTACTGGTCGGATTGGAGCACGAGCGTCGGCCGCTGCAGCTTCTCCTGGGGATCCAAACGCTCCCACTCGGCCGATATCGGGTATCTGGCGGCTCATATACATGGTATGCTCTCCCCGCATTACATCATCACCCAATACGGTCCTTGTTACCTGACCTCTCCTAAGCCCCATTGTTTCCTCTGGGAACACGTTTAAATGCTTTCTGCATTTCTTTTATAACCAAAAAAACATTTACATATACATATATATATATATATTTATATTTATGTATGACTCTGTCTGTTGGTGAAACAATGGCACTAAATGTTTTTCTAGAGAGATGGAAGCATCTGCTCTTGGCGTTATTCCATTCAACTGAGACGAAAATCGACATTGTTGAAGGTCCATTTGTTGGGTTTTACGTATGATAATATCATACGATTCACTAATCATTATAAGATTCCTATTTAGGGTTATTACAAAGGAAGAACAAACGAAAAAAAATTATATAACCATATTGATTTTACGTTCAATTGATCTTAGAAAAAGATACTAGCATGTTTCGATCTTAATTTTTTTTTTACGACGGTAACCCGTCTCTACAGCCTTTCGGGCCGGACATTGTTCGACTCCGCGGGACAGACGACATCTCGGACAGTAAACCCTCGGTTTCACGCAATAACTGGCAAATTACGCGGAACAGATAAACCAGCCAAAACTAACCGGTTCAGGAAAAACTCAGTAGTTGAACCCACAATCTCGTGTAGAGGGGATTTTCATTTTCCAACTGAGGTGAACACTTCCCCACGATCACCATTTCTTCCGCTTGCCATCTGGAAAAAATCTAAAGAACTCGGCGGGATGTCGTATCAACCGTCCAAAACCCCTAAACTCGTAGATATTGATATTGTGTGACAAAAAGAAAATTTTAAAATAAAGGTGAAGTCCTCAACTCAGTTGGAAAATGACAAGCCTTCTTTACACGAGTTTGTGAGTTCGATTCCTCCTGAGATCTGAGTTTTTCCTGAACCGGTCAACTTCAAATGTTTTACCAGTTATACGTGGTTTGTCGACTATTACACGGAAGAAGGATTTACTGTTCGAGATGTCGTATGATCCGTGGAGCCGTCCGAAGAGCTGTGAAGACGGGTTTATCACCGTATAAAGAAAATTAAGAAAGAAATGATGGTCGTGATGATAATGATGAAGCCCTTGGTTAATGGGCCATTGTTCTTTATTTTTCGGTTTCATAAGTACTTGCCGCACGAGAATGACGCTGCATATTTATTTCACCCAACACCTAAACGGCAGATCGTTTCGGCCGAATTAAAGGAAAATCTATTTGACGTGTTTTTTTGTATTTTTTTTTTTATTACAGAATTATTTTTTTTCCTGAATAAGGTGGCCACGACAAAAATTAGATGACGAAAACAAAAATAAGATGACAGAATTTGCTATCGTAAACCCATCAATATATGTATATAACCTTGAAAGCGACCCTTAAACGAAAACAAAAATAACATTTAAGAGTACAAATGCCTTGTACGAATGTGTTTGGGTAAAACATCTGTCCAATGAGTCAGAAGGCTCTTCAGACCAAGCTGTGGTCGTTTCGTTATTACCAAAAGAGGAATAATCCCAAGTAAAACAAGAAACAACCTCCACTTGCCATTCTTGGCATGTAACATTAATTTCACCTTTTAAGGAAAAAAAAACAAACATTGGTTTGTTAGTGGAAAGAAGAGGAGTAGGTGGGAGTTGCAGAGAAATACTATTAACTTGTCGAGGAGTGCGCTGCGAGTGCGAGTGCGAGTGCATAAAAGCCTCATGCACGTTCTCCTATTTATTGACGTTATGGGTTATGATTATATTATATATATATATTCAAACATGTAGGGGACGGTCTATCCATTTAATGATACATTAATTCTTTTTTTTTTGTTCGGTAACCGGATTTTCTGGGTCGAGACTCAGACTAATCTCGGGATCGAGAGTCATCTATGTAATTTGAATTATTCGCTCCCTTCCCACTCTGGAGTTCGAATTCGGTGTGGGACAGACGTTTTGCGCCCTGTTTCACCGGTTGAACTACCCTGGTTGGGTAATACATTAATTCTTTATATTATATTTTTTATTTAGATTAAGAAATACAAAAAAACGAGTTTGGTCAATACGTAAAACCAGCTTCAACTCACTAGATTCTCCATTACATCATGTGATTATATATCGATGGTTTGTCTTGATCGTGCCGCTTTGGTAAACTAATTCACTTCCCTTGCATACCGCATAGTATTTTTTATATGCATGAAATATAATATATATATATATATATACATCGTTCATAATATTTTTTTTTATAATTCAGAACTTCATTAGGTTTTTGGTTCAATTATATTTAGTAGAGAATTGATAAAATCCATGTGCATGTTCCCAAATGAAGATTTGAACTTGAATTGAAAAAAAACTTTGTATTCTTCTTTACCAGTTCAACCGTCTAATTTTGGATTTAGAGAATAATTTTTTTGTATTCCAATAGATGTCGTTTTAGATTTTTTAAACGATGTTTTAAGAAAAATTCCAATTTTATTTTTAACTAAAAATGCTCAATTCTATAGACTATCGATGAGAATATGATTTAAGGAAGTTACATGTGGGTTTTTTATATTATTTTAAAATTGTGAAAAAAATCTAAAACTACATGTATTGAGAAACGAAGGGGGGATATAAACTTTTACTAATACATCAATCTTAATCTTATAACTAACCGTAGAGAAGTTAAAAGGATATTATTATCGAGGTCATGCATTTCAACGAGGCATTAAATTCGTTTACTAGTACCTTTAATTTGTACATCTTTCACCCAATTCATAAATTTGGATTCCCCAACCAACCAAATGCACTGGTGAACTCTGAATTTCAATATATAACAGTTTCATTCTGTCTGTATGTATACACGCACGCCTCTCTTTATTCCTTACTAGAGATTCTTCCTATATTTCCGATTCTATCCATATTTTCCAAGGAAAAGTTCCAGCAATCAAGAAGGGAAGTCAAGGAACGTGATGGTGCTTGGTTTTGTTACAGCGTCATTGGTCTTGGTGATATTATTGTTCACAATGTGTAATGCAACAATCCCGGCGAACTTCGTGTTCGGGGATTCGCTGGTTGATGTCGGGAACAATAACTATATCGTCACCTTGTCGAGGGCTAATTACGCACCCAATGGCATCGATTTCGGATCTCCCACCGGAAGATTCACCAATGGAAGAACAATCGTCGATATAGTCTGTGAGTGTATATATTATCATCATTCTTATGATTTTCCATCCTCAATTACAACTGTAGTTTTCATATACATGTTTTCTTGATATTGCAGTTAATTACCTAACACAAAATATATATAGGCTACAAGAACTGACTAGGTTAATTAGTGTCAATATTAAACCGGTACAGCATTGGTAAACCAAGAATGTGTCGGTATAGATGCATATATATCGGTTTAATTATTAAACCGGAAAATCTAATGGAAAAAGCAGGCCAGGAGTGGGGGAACAAGGAACCAACGCCGCCGTACTTAGCACCAACTACAAGAGGCTCTGTGATCCTCCGAGGTGTTAACTATGCTTCCGGAGGCGGCGGAATCCTCAACTCCACACCGAAAAATCAAATGGAAAAAGCAGGCCGGGAGTTGGGGAACAAGAACCCACCCCCGCCGTACTTAGCACCAACTACAAGAGGCTCTGTGATCCTCCGAGGTGTTAACTATGCTTCCGGAGGCGGCGGAATCCTCAACTCCACCGGCAAATTATTTGTAAGCTTTTTCCCTCTCTCTATCTATATTCCATATATCAAATATATATATATACACATATATATATATATATATTATAAGAAAAATATGTTAAAAAAATGAGAGCAGGGCGGTCGGATCAATTTGGACGAGCAGTTAGACAACTTCGGGGTAACGAGAGGAGAAATAATAGCACACGTGGGGGAAATGGAAGCAGCGAAACTGTTGGAGAAAGCCCTTTTCTCAGTAACCATCGGCTCAAACGATCTCATAAACAACTACTTCACCCCCGTCGTCTCCTCCTTTGAACGCAAGCTCGTTCCTCCTCCTGTCTTTGTCGACGCCATGATCTCGCGACTCAGATCTCAACTCACCGTACGTTAAGTCTCTCTCTCTCTTGCAATAAAGTTTTGTTCTTTTAGGGTTTATAATGATCGGATCGTGCTGCCTTAGAGGTTGTACGAAATGGGTGGGAGGAAGATCGTGGTGACGAACGTGGGACCGGTGGGATGCATACCCTTCGAGAGAGAGGTTGATCTGACGGCTGGGGTTGATCGATGCGCTGCTCAGCCCAACCTCATGGCTCGTATGTATAACCTTCGTCTCCGAAGCCTCGTCGAGGAGCTCAATTCCAATCTACGAGGTGCAACGTTCGTGTACGCCGACGTTTTTCACATCGTTTACGATATTCTCGAAAATTACGCTTCATACGGTACGATACCAATTATTTATATATATTTTTTAATTCAGTATGTATAGAAACATGTGTTTTGTGATGATGATGATGATGATTAAAAGGATTTGCGAGCGAGAGAACGCCGTGTTGCGGAATCGCAGCGGGGAAAGTGGGAGGGCTAATACCATGTGGACCCTCGTCGACTATATGTACGGACAGATCGAAGTACGTGTTCTGGGATCCTTACCATCCCTCCGATTCCGCTAATCTCATAATCGCTCGCCGTCTGCTCTCCGGCTCCTCTGACGACGTTTTCCCCTTCAACATCCGACAGCTCGTGGATCTGTAACCCAGTGTTCTTTTTTTATTTGCTACGTTTTCTTGATTTCTGGACCATATCCTTTTGTTAATTAGAGGAAATTAATAGAAGGTTAGGTAGTCGTGATTCAGCCAATTCATTTTCAGTCATTTAAGATATTACTCCGTTTTGTCAAAATTTATTATTGTGTTGGGAACTTTATGTGACTGTGATCTATCTAATATATGGCTTCAATGAATTCTTGATTAATTAATTCCTTTCGTTCTGTGTTGTAAGTGGCGGTTAACATCTTTCCATGTGTGTGTGTACGTACGTACGTATGCATGCACAATTCCGGTTTAGTTTCGAAAAATTAAAGGGCGAAATTATATATAGGAAGTGCTTACGTATTGTTCTTTTTTTTTAATTACACATTGATTGCGTCTTTGTCGGGTTAAACATATCAAGTATGGACCCAAATGATTGGAAAATCAAATCACCGCAATTTCGACCTTTTCCTTTAACCAATCACTAAATATAACGTTTTAGGACATTAACATCGAGTAAACAGTGTATATATATTGGAATAAACACACAGAAACATCTAATAATACTTCAGTTGACTTTGTGACACACGCTTCTTACGTTTCCTCTAGTCCCGGTGAGAACATTCGAGCACGATAACTTGACAAAGGCGGAAGAAAAGGATCGGAGGAAGAGATTGGGATCGGCAGCAAATGCACGGACAAAGGGCTGCGTCCGAGGATCCGTCGCCATCTCAGTATCGACCCTGAGAGGGCCACGTCCGCCGATGGTGTTCTCGTAATAATTGGTGTCGAAGATGGTCGATGTCTGGTCGTTGAGAATAAAAGTGTATTTCGACGAAAACGGGAAACTCTGAGGGCATGCCAATCGTATAAGCTTTTCGAACTGCGGATCGATGTTGTCTTTCGCTGACTTGCTCGTGTTATTGAAACGCTGCATTGCGTTATTGCAATGCGTGACTCCTAATGTATGTGCACCTGTATCATTAATTCGATCAAATGAATCCACACCATATATTATACACAAACATATCGTTGGGTCATGATATATCTTTGATAAGATGTTTGCAAGGGAACCCATGTGAAATTTGAAACTTCGTCGTTACTAATTAATATGCCAGCCCTTCCATGATGAAGGGGAAAAGGACGTGTTTCTGCCCTTAAATAGAGGTTAATTTAGTCAAAGAGTTGAGGATTTCACGTGGGGCCGTTTTTTAAAGCAAGGGTGATATATATTTTATATACGTCCGTAATTAAGAAGGGTTTGTGCTACTTTGATGAAATTTAGATTTTGTTAATACTATATATAACAAACATATATATATATATAGTATCGGCATAATAGATAAATAAATAAAAAATACCCATAATGGCGACCGATTCTTCCACGGTCATGCCTTTGGCGCCGAAGAGACGGAGGACGGAGTCGACGTCAGCAGTGGCGGGAGGGAGGAGGGCATCTGCCACGTGGCTGCCGGGAGTGGAGACAGCATCCTTTCGTCCAAGAGGCACTGCTATGAGGGGGCCCCCCGAGAGGGCAACGGCTTCTCTGGCGGCTAAGATGATGACGTCGGCACAAGACACTTGCTTCGGGCACACCAGCTCGAGAGCCGCTTTGACAGCGCCGATCAGCTCCCTCTTCCTGATCCCGAAGTTCTTGGCCGAGTCCATCTCCGTCGGCTGGTCGACGAGGATCGACGCGTCACACCCCTGTCGCATCAGTTTGTATTTAATAAAATTAATATCATCATTATTATTATTAGTTTTATATATGGGGTCCCAATAATGGGGTAAATCACTCAAATATACCAAATGCGTGGCACTCATTTTTCGGATACACCCGCAAAATTATAACCCATTAATTTTTTTTTAAAAGACTATATTACCCTTAATGCAATTGATTCTAAAGTCGTAATTGATTCTAAATGCAGTTGCAATTGATTCTAAATACAGTTACAATTGATTCTAAATGAGGTAACAAAAAATACATCTAATTGTTTACAGGATCTTTAGTTGTTATACGGTCGTAAATACTATTTTTTTAGTCGTATATTAGTTATATAACAGTTGTAATAAAGTCGTAAAAAATATGAAAGAAATGTTATTTCAGACTTTTTAAGTCTAAAAATGGTATAGAATTGAAATTTTTTTTTTTGATTTTTTTGTAGGTGTATCGCTGAAATTTGTGCGACACATTTGGTATAGTTAAGTGATTTTCCCCCAATAATGAAGTTGACAAATATTTACAATTTTTTTTATAACCGAACATCATCTACCGAAATCCAAACTAATCTAGCATGCGGAAGTCAACCATGTGACATGTTTTCTCTCCAATTTGAAGTTCGAACTCGAGATAGGACAAACGTTTTGTATCTCTGTTTTACCGATTAAGCTATCCAAGTTGGATAAATATTTACGATCTTACATGGACTTACAATAACAGGTGTAGAAGTATACATTGCGGGATTCTCTCTTGTATAATATGCCATCTTTGATCTCCTCAAGATCATAAGCTGAAGTTGTGTACTTTTTTTTAATTATTTAAGCAATACGTCACTCACATATCTTCACGTGTAGTATTATAGCGGGTACAATGAATTCACAAACTTCAAGGTCCAATAAGTATAATGAACGAAGAATTCATATGGCCGATTCCGAAGAAATCTGGGACTAAAGCGAAGCTCAAGGTTCAAGTTTCAAGTTATAGGTATACGACGAAGGAATCAATTTCTCCGTGTACTATTACAGATGAGAGAAAAAAAACTATCGTATTCATAGAAGTGGATAACTACATATTTATATAGTAGTCGGATTAGAAAATTTAAGGGGCGTAAAACAGGCGGGCTCAACCTGTCCCACTTTGTCTCGTCCCAATATTAGATTTTTTTTAGTTCAATCCAGCTTAACCCTTTTTTTTAATTCATAAAAAAATATTTAATTCATTCCATCTCATCTTAGATCACGAATCAAACAATTCGACTCGCAAACCAAAGAAATAATTAAAACAAATAAAAATTAACTTTTAAAAACTATTTAAAAATATTATAAATACAATAAATTTTTTAAAAAATTAAATAAAAGAAGTCAAATATATGTTAGAAACATAGTTTTAATATAAAAATATTAAAATTTAAATAAAAAATATTTTTTCTGACTGGTAAGTTTATCGAACTAGCTCGCTATGAACTCAGTTCGTGGCGAATTGATTGGTTCAGTCTATTTTTTTCCGAGTTAAAATTTTTTAAATCTAACTCGAAAAAATATGGGGTGGCTCGCTAACGGAAGCCATTTGACATCCCTAAAAATTTTCGAGGTCTCCTTCGTTTGTTTTTTTAAATTAAATTTGGTAAAGTCGTATGCAAAACTAGTATATCCATGATAAAAAAAAGTTTGAATCGTACCAAACAGAGATTTCCACGTAAATAATGATAAGTATAAAATTGAATGAAACTTGAATCCCAAACCTAACGCTTCACAAGATTCTAAATCAACACATAAGATTTCCACGTGACTAGCTCAACTACATACATACATATATATATTGTTAAAAAAAAAGATGATATACATATACATACATATATATATATATATATATATATAGGGGTGGGTGGGGGAGAGAGAACCTGAACTTGGCAGTCATGGAACATGAGTCTCAACAAGGCAGGAGGGGAAGAGGGATCGAGCAGGAAAGCAGACGAAAGAGAAGCTCTCACAATGTGTTGAAGTTGAGGGCATGCCTTGTCGTAGTAGTTGTAAGATAACCCTCCGCACTTGTCAATCACGTTTCCATTACATGTTCCTAATAACAGCAAGCTCACTACAATTACGCTTGCCAATTCGCTATCTACTCCTCTTTTGTTCATCTCTCTCTCTCTCTCTCTCTCTCTCTGGTGAGGGACTTTGGATAAATGTGAGTGAGGGTTGTTTGCGGTGCATGTATTTATAGGGCAGTTGATAAGCAAGGGCCGTGACTATCATTAATAAAGCCAGCCCAATATATAAATTATTATATTTAATAACCCACTATTTAAACTATACATGAATTGGCACTATTCCACTACCTCCGGTTTGCAATTCTGGTTTGGTTTACAAAATTCTAGGATTAACCACAAAAATGTACAATTATACCAAATCCAAAGTACTAAACCGGAATATTGTTGCTGTTTCAGTTGTACTTTTTCTCTAACCTCATATTGGATGTCCGGGCTATTGTGATTGGGGATATAACTCGACATTATGTATTTTTTTCATGCTAAAATTTTTATTATTATTATTGGTGGTTAATCATATTTGAATTGTAGATGGATAACATATTTAAAATAACCTTTTTTTTTCAAATGTACATATGTATAGTTGCAGTATATGGACAGCCCTATAGAACTATACAAAAACTAACTAGTTAACCGGTTAGGCTATTGGTTGATTAACTGACTAAACCAGTGATATGGGGCAAATACAGCATCCATAATGTGAAGCGTTAGGTGGATTCTCACATTAAGTTTTTAGATACGAATTAGACGCCAAATAAATGAATGTATATATCCTTCCCTCTGTGTGTGTATGTATGTATATATACACGTGGGTATCGATTATTTTTGAAATTTATTTTATTCACTTGTGGACGCTTGCTTTTGAATTGCATATAGAATTGTGTAAGTTCATATATATATATATATATATATATAAATATATTGTAATGGTTTTTTTCTAATTGAATAAATGTGTCTGTCACAGTTTGTGGTTCTCAGATGTCAGGAACCAGGAGGATCCAACACTGACATCCTTTCCAGTTTGCACTCTTTTCATTCATTCACTCATTTGTCTTTTCTCTTCTTTCCTTTTATTAGATAGGTCTATTAACCACAGCATGAAGTTATATTTGCTTATGTAACTATAATTTTATTTAAATATAATAATTATTTATTTTTCGTCAATGATGAATTCGCTCACCTTCGGTTTCTTAGTGATATATATATATTTTTTTTAATCCCAACTACACACAAATCCGGTCGTCCATGCAAAACTCGATGATGATATATTCTAGGGTGTCAATCGGGTCGGCCCGAACCCGCATTCGGTCCAAAGGTTTTGGGTTCGGGTCGACCTAATTTTTTTCGCATATGTATAGTTAAACCCGGTCCTATATATTTCTGGTTCATATCAGGCCGGACCGATCCGTATAAATCCATTTGTAAATCTTTTTTTTTTAAATATCGGGATTTTGGATCTGTTCGACTCGATTCCGAAGCCCAATTCGAACCCGAACCGAAAGCCGATTTTTTTCAGATCGAAAAAAAACTTAGGTCCGAAGCCTATTAATTTTCGGACTGGACCGAACTGGATTTCGAACCTCGAGACCAAATTGGCACCCCTAATATTTCCTATATCCAGCGTGAATTAATTAGCAAGTTGAGTTTTTATTGGAAGAAATTGATTTCAATTAATGGGTCGGAGCGTTATGCTGTCAATGTCATGCTATTAAAAGATGATTTGGGTTTCTTGATTTCATTTTTTCTCTCTGTATTTTCCTTTAAGTGAATTTATGGGTCCCATCACATCCCAACTTCGTCATTACTAATATATATATATATATTCAAGCTACTTGGGTCGGATGAAAATGACTAATATAAGCTTATCCTTCACTTTGTGGGTCCTTTTTTTTTCTCTCATTAGAATTTGTATATCATATCGTTAATGAAATCGAGTATATAAAGGCCACGCTCTTTTATACCGAACAACCAAAGGCAACGTCGTAGGCTTCTCTAGGGTTGGGTTTTATATTCGGTTCAAGTTCGGTCAAGTAAGGGTGACTTATTTGGTTAATAACCGAATAAACGAACCGATCCAAATCGAATAACGTATAACCGTAATCAGACCGAATTAGATATAAAATCGAATGATTATGATTTTTTTAAAACAAAAAAAAACCGATATCGAACCCGAACCGAACCAAATAAAAAATGATAAAAAAATCGTAAATTTTCTTTAAAAATGAGTATTTTTATCATAACTGAACCGGATCTGAACCGGATATAACCGAACCAAAACGAATCAAATTCAATGTAAAAATCGAACGGTTATAGTTTTTCTAAAACCGAAATAACTGAACCCTAATATAACTAAACCGAACTCGAATCGAAACCCGATCAAGACACCCTACGGTCAAGAATGATTTGATTCTATAAAAATATGTACTAATCGGTTATTATATCATATTCGGTTCGATTTCAGTTTCGATTCGATTCGATTTTATTTTTTATTAAAAAATAGTTTTCTTTTTAAAAAATGGTTTCGTGTTTTTTAAAAATTCGATTCGGTTTCAAAAAAATTAAGTTTTATAAAAAAAAAAATATTAAAAAATTTTAGATTGATTCGAGAATGATACCGTATTTTTTGATTCGGTACTATACCGAAACGCGATCCCTAGGCTTTTTCACATGAATGTCCTTTTTCGTGGGTAAGTTACTTTGGGCCGCTATTGTATCGTTCTGCACTTGGGCTCATATTTATTATTGCCATTGATTTATTAAAAATGCCTACTATGATGAATGATATATACATACAGATGTTTAATTTTCATATAGAGCTTTTTTTAAGGGAAAATCCCAAAATAATACCTGAAGTTTTCAATTTTGACAAAATAAACCTAAATTTTATTTTTTATTAAATAAAACCTAAACCTGAACTTTATAATTTTTATCATTTTTAACCATGTTGCTGACGTGACATTCCGATATCGTGACATGTGGATGATGATGTGTCAAATACGGTCAAAATGTTGACTTGCCACTTAGGATGTCGGAACGCCACGTCAGCAATAGGGTTAAAAATGACAAAGATTATAAAGTTCAGGTTTATTTTTTATTGAAACATGAAGTTCAAGTTTTATTTGATAAAAAACAAAGTTCAGATTTTATTTTGTCAAAATTGAGAAGTTGATGTATTATTTTTTTATAAAAAAAACGACAAATTAAACAAATAAAATCCGTAGCCACCCAAAAAAAGGCCTAGAAAGAAAGGAAAAGAGGGTTCCAAAAAAAGAGTGAATAGATCCCCACACTAAATAAACACCCTCCATACAAAACAAACAAAACCAAAACATCCTTTAAATCGACAAAAGCCATCCCGAGAAGAAATTAAGGAAACAAACAAGAAAAAAAATGGAGGAGTTTGTGAGAGGAATGATGCTAACCCTAACCCTAACCCTAACCCTAGGCACAGCGACCATGGTGGCGGATGCGTCGGCAATGTACAACTTGAAATTCGACGCACCCCTTCTGACGGAGAAAATAGCGACGAACAGATCGATAATAGTGGACATCCAAGGCGACGGAGATTACACTTCCATTCAACAGGCCATTGACGCCGTTCCTCACGGAAACCCCGGCTGGATCATCGTTCACGTCCGCAAAGGCATCTACAGGTCACCCTTTTCTTCCCTTTTTTACGTCGTTTTTATGTTGCATGGTGTAAGTTATATTTGAATATATATACATATGCATGCGGGGATTTAAATTGGATATGGTTGGTGGGATAACAGAGAAAGGGTGCACATACCGGAGAGTAAGCCGTTCATATTCATGAGAGGCAACGGAAAAGGCAAAACAATCATTCAGTCATCGCAGAGTTCGGACGACAATGTCGAATCCGCCACCTTCAAAGTCGAAGGCAATCACTTCGTCGCCTTCGGTATCAGCATTAGGGTACGTATATTTAGTATTAGGATCACACCAAAAAAAGATTTAACGATAGAAATATGATTTATAATCGTGTTTGGGGGGGGGGTTCTTTGACAGAATGATGCGCCGATAGGGATGGCGTTCACGTCGCAGAACCAGTCAGTGGCTGCGTTTGTGGCCGCTGACAAGGTAGCGTTCTACCATTGCGCGTTTTACAGTTTGCACAACACGCTGTTTGACAACAAAGGAAGGCACTACTACTACAGTTGCTACATCCAAGGCTCCATCGACTTCATCTTCGGCCGCGCCACCTCCGTTTTCCACGTAAATAACGTCCACACTAATCTTTTCAAACTCCAAGGGAATGAATACGCACGCGTGCGAATATTTTCAATTTGAAAACCGAGCGTTAATGCATGTGTGTGTGTATATATATATAGGGCTGCGAGATATTTGTGATATCGGACAAGAGAGTGGAGCCGCACGGGTCGATAACGGCACAGAACAGGGAGACGGAGGAGGAGAAGACAGGGTTTGTGTTTGTGAAAGGGAAAGTGTACGGAATAGATTCGGTGTACTTAGGGAGAGCCAAAGGACCGTTCTCAAGGGTTGTGTTCGCCAAGACATACTTGTCAAAGACCGTGGTCCCTCGCGGCTGGACCAACTGGAGCTACAACGGCTCTACCCAGTAAGTCCATATCATCATCACTCATCATCATCATCATATGTATGTGTATATGTAACGTGGGAGCATGCATGCATGCAGGAACATGTACCATGGGGAGTACAAGTGCCATGGACCAGGCGCGGATAGCAAAGAGAGAGCTTCATGGGCCAAGCAGCTCTCAAAGTCGGAAGCTCAGCCTTTCTTGTCCATTGATTTCATTGATGGCTCCTCCTGGCTCCCTGTCTGGCTTCCCCAAAACTTCGATTAACCAATTAGTTTCCCTAACGCCACACTCTATCAAAATAGTTAATATATACATACATATATATATATATATAATATTTTTTTTCATGTTTTAATTTAAAACCTTAGGATGATGATGATGATGAGTACCTTGTGGTTTTGACACGAGAGATGCCGAACGTTGTAACTTCTTCTGATACGTAAGAGTGGTGGGAAATTTCTGATATGTTGTCTCACGCCACATAGCCAAAACACAAAAAAAAAATGATAATTTCCATTTTTGAACAATTTTAACTAGATATATAAATATATAAACGCGTTATGTGATGCATTGGAATCGATGCGAATATGTATATTCTTAGCCATATTCATCAATGAGAATTTTAGTCAGTCATTTGATGATATGCGATATATATAGATGAATACGGCTAAGAAAATGGATATGCTTACATTCTGTTTAAGTGATATATATATATATATATAAGGGTTGTAATTTATCATTATTATTATTATTCAAAGTAATTGCAAAATGATAACCATCTAACTTCGGGAAACATTAGAGACACAAGTAATTCCTTTATTCATTGGTGTGGAAAGCCTCTCTAGAAGGATACTTAGTACACAAGTAACTACTCATGCCACGTAGGATACTCAGTATCTAATAAAGGAAAGAGGTTCAAAATCCCCCGCCAGCTCCTCCTCCAGCACCGCCGCCAAATCCTCCTCCCGCTCCACCTCCTATACCTCCTCCTCCTCCGGCACCTCCGCCAAATCCACCACCGTGACCTCCTCCAGCACCTCCGCCGATACCTCCTCCGGCACCACCGCCTGCTCCACCACCAAATCCACCTCCAGCCCCTCCACCGGCACCACCGCCGATACCTCCGCCAGCACCCCCACCGGCACCACCGCCAAATTCTCCGCCAGCCCCTCCACCGGCACCACCTCCAGCTCCTCCACCGGCACCACCTCCAAATCCTCCTCCGGCACCTCCACCGGCACCCCCTCCGAATCCTCCACCGTGGCCTCCGCCTGCTCCACCACCGAATCCGCCGCCGGCACCACCTCCATGGCCTCCGCCTGCTCCACCTCCGAAACCCCCACCGGCACCTCCTCCAGCGCCACCACCGAACCCACCACCATGGCCTCCCCCAACGCCACCGCCGAATCCTCCTCCTTTCCCACCACCAAATCCGCCGCCGGCACCTCCACCACCACCAGCGCCACCGCCGAAACCACCTCCGACGCCACCCCCGCCAAAGGTTTCTTTCTCAAGTTTCCTACACTCGGCGACCCCTATGACGACCACCACAACCATCAACGCCAAAAACCCAAAACGTACGGAAACCTTCCCCATCTTTGCCAAAAAAAGTTAGAAAAAACAAGAACTTTCAAAGTTTCTCGTCGAGTATATGCTTTGAGCTCACCCTAATGAGCCTATTTATAGAGATGAGAGCATTTATGAAATATGGTTGGGAGCACCGCTCAACATGTTTCAATTTCATAATCTGTGGGGCTAAACATATTTATACCAACATATTAATTTAATGCAAAAAGGAAACTTTGTATACGCGAGTTTCATCATACATCCTCTATCATAAGAAAACTTGTGTAATTTACACATTTAATTAGTCTCTTGTATCTGTTGGTTTATGTCTTTTTTTTTTTAAATACATAGGCAGAAATCCAACACAAACGAAGAAATATATATGAATAGAAAAAAACTAACAAAAGAAACATAAAAAAATCGATAAATATCCGTTTCCACCAAAAAAAAAAAAAAACAATAACAGTTATCAGTGTCGAAGTTACATGCAAAATCATGAATACCTTACAAAATGAAAAAGAAAAAAAAAAGAAGAAGAAGAAGGAACGGTCAAAGGGAAGTGGGAACTGGGAAATATGAAGAGAGAAATTCAAAGGGAGCAGGTGAGTGGGGAGGTGAGGCTCATAAATGGGAGATAGTCTCAACTAACAGTGGATTTTTCGCCAAAATTAATGCATTACGTCCTCTATCTTTCTTTTTTGGTTCTGGTTATGAGGGGAACTCAATCGGGCGCGGTGATAAATACTCCGATTTTATGTCGATTTTATGTAATAATATATAAACCATGTAAGACAGATAAGGGATAACAGATTCGTTGGAAAATGATGTAATAATTAGGGATGGCCGTTCGGAAACGGTTTATTCGATATTATAAAATTTGTATCAAATTAGTAACATATATTATTCAGTTCGGTTCGGTATTATGACGGTTCGAGATGGTACGGTACTAATAAATAAGTACCAAATAAGAAGCAAAATAAAAACGGTTCAGAACGGTTCAGGACAGTTCATGATATATTTATAATTCATATAATATAAAAGTAAAGAGATCCAACATAATAATTTTATACAGCAAAATAAAAGTTTTGAACTTGTAAACTTGAAAAAAATGCAACATTAATCTCAATGCATTACGCAAACAAACTTTTAATATTAGTAAATATCATAATTAACTATTAATATTAAATATTTTTTAATTAAAAAAATAAAAATACCGAAATACCGTTCGGTATTTTCCGAACCGAACCGAACCGAAACCGAATTAATTGGTTCGGGACTAGATTCTCGAATCGAATTGTCCACCCCTAGTAATAATATATAAACCATGTTGTAAGACAGATAACCCATTCAAATTAAGGATGACAGATTCGTTGGAGAACGGAATCGAACCTATGATTTTGTAGAAAATCATGAACTCTTTAACCACTACACTAGATCCGAGGGATGGCCGTCTCTATCTTTTCATTACTTCCTTAATTACACCTACAATCGTTGACCCTAATCCCAGTAATATTCAATTTGTTTAAATGTCGATAGAAAAGATGTAATGATGGGTACCAACATCATTCATTGTGCACAAAGATTTATTTTATTTTATTCTTAATTATCACAATAGTAACACTCGCACGATCTGTTAATATCATAATACAGATGCCCCCAAAATTAAAAATAGCACTACAGCTACGGTTATATCATACGACGACACAAAAAATTACCGACAGCATGGCAAAACCCTCCCTCTAACTAATAAGGCAAAACCATCATCATGTCAGCGCTCGTGCTGGCGGCTGCGGACCGTTGATTAGGAGGAGGAGGGACTGCCAGCTCCATTACGATGAGGAAATAGGAACGCTCCGACTCTCTAATGTACTGGACCTCCCCCCCTCTCATCTGCTTCAGAATCTTCCTGCAAACGCTTAGACCTAGCCCTTCAGGGCTCGTCCACCTGCTTCCATGGAACATGTCTCTCACCAGCTCCGGCGGCAGTCCTTCCCCTCCGCACGCCATTCTGCATTAACATCCACGCGCTGTGAAACACGGGTCTGCGTTAAACACAAGACATTAACAAGGGGATGAGTCAACAAGTACCTGAACTCGCTACGGAGGGAGGAGGAACCGTCAGGCAAATGTTTCAGGATGGGGTTGAGATGGATCTCGACCCAGCCTTGAGAGGGGGCGTACTTGATGATACTCAGCAGAAACTCGGCCAGAACCTGTTGGATCCTCATCTGGTCTCCGTACACAGCCATCGTCTTTATCTCCTCTGGTATGTCTCTGATCAGCTGTAGCCCTCTCTCCCTCACCAGCATCATCACTTGGCTCACTACCGCGTTTATCACACTCCCCATTATGAACTCTTCTTTCTCTACCTCCACCAAACTACAGGTAAACAGCAGACGCATGCTCATCAACGTGTGAAAATGGTCATGAACGTTTCGTTTTTGTTTCAAACAAAAATCTAAACTCACCCGTCTTCAATAGTTTCGAGGTTCATATCCCCGATAATCCTAGAAATCTGCTTCTCGCAAGACACACTTGTCTCGAGGAGCTGCTTCTGATCCTCCGACAAGCCTGTGGCTTCCAACAACAAGTTTGTAAAACGCAGACCACTCAGTGGATTCTTTATTACCTGACAGATGTAAGCCAACTCTTTCGCTCTCGAGATGCACTCTGTCTCCTGCTGCCTCTGGACAGCCAGAGCCTGCTGCAACTCGGGACTTGGGATCTGCATGAAACAGAAAGCCCCAGTGATCTTCCCATCAATGCTAACTCTCTTGTTTGCCGTCAGAAGCGCTTGTACAAACTTCCCGTTACGGTCAAAGAATGGGAATGAGAACTTATCCGTCTCCTCTCCCCCAATCGCGTTGTGCAGAACGATCATGAACTTGGTCAATGTATCTGGACCCTTTAGCCGGCAACAGCTCCCAAACACTTCCCCAACAAGCATTTTCCCAATCACTTCGGCCCGGGACCAGCCCGTGAGCTTCTCCATCGCGGTGTTCCACTCCAAGCAACACGTGTTCTCATCGGCTGCAAAGATTGGCGGGATCAGAGGGTTTGGGCTGTGGACGATGGCCTTGTAGTCACCTTGTATGTGGATGAACTTGTCCATTACGATTTTCTGGCCAGTGACGTCCTGTCCTACAAAGCAGACTCCTACAATGTTGTTCAAGTAATCCTTGCTTGAGCATGCATTCACCACCACAAACACTGCCTGCCCTTCAAGTTCCCGGCTGAAAGTTTTCATTTTGATCTCCACGTTTTTATCCTCTTCACCTGCATCGTCGCAATGCAACACCAGGATCAAATCTATGGTCTATATGCAAAACAAAGAATGAGATATAATTTTTTTTTTCTTGTTTCATACATACACGTTCGGTTGTCAATAACATAAAATAGCGTACCCTGTATGTTTACACATTATATGTTATATGCACGTCTCGTAAATGTGTGCACGTATACCTACAAACATTGTTTTTTTGAACTCTGGCAAATCGAAGGAGTTAAAGAATTTACCTCTCAGAGCATGAGAAAGAAGCTTCTCTACTGTTTCTTCGTATTCTTTGTAGATCAGATCGCGGACCAGAGACTTCCCCATAGCTTCTTCAACTGAAAGCCCTGTCAATTCGGCAATCTTTCCATTCCATCCATTGATGCGTCCTTCTACATCCACAGCTAATATCGGGACGGTCGCAGTCTCGATGAGCCTAACCATCTCTCTCGCAACTGCACTGAGCTCATCCAGCCCCTGCACTGCCATGTCCCCACCTGGTTGATCAGCGCGGACCGCCACTCTAGTGTTCACAGTTTCGGATTCTTTGAAGGAGTCTCTCAGAATAAGCTGGAGAGAGTGAATTGCGTCCATTTCTGCATTTTCCCAGGGCAGACTCCGGCTCTTGACAACTTCAAGAAAAGCCTTGAATGAAGAACGCGGGTGCATCCTCTGGCTGTCGTCTTTGTCCTCGGGATGATGCTTAGCCCCTCCCCATTTGATTTCTTTGGCAGTGTGGGAGCGGAACCAGAAGAGGAAGTCCTTTCTTGTGATATAAGCAACTGCCATACCGCACACAGCATCCCCAAGAGTGGCTGCACCTGGATAACCTGCATCTGCTAAGCTATCTGTGCTTAGCCCAGTTGAATCACCATGGTTAGCAAGCAACCACTCCACTATATCTTTGATCTGAGCTTCACTTGGAGCCACACCCAATGGGTAATACCTCCCTTGGTAAAGAAATGCTGCCCCATCGCATTTCACCAAGTCCATGATACTAGGTTTTTGAGTGACAATGCCAGTCGGGGAATCACGCAGAAGCATATCGCAGAGCAATGTCTGTGTCCTAAGGACACGTTTTTCAGACATCTGCAATGCTAATTGCAGTTCCATGTTCAACTGTAAACCGAAAGCCTGCATTAGGAACTCACAGGCATACCTCAGAGGGAACGGTATGCACCGAGCCGACGTGTGGTGGCAAACCACTAAACCCCACAGTCTCATAGAGTTTCTCCCACCGGCGACACTACCAGCCTCTTCTTCATTGCCGTTTATTATGACAGCCATTGCCAATGACGCGAGCGAACCCATGTTGGCCATGTACTGAGCGTGGCAACCATGAGGAGCCCGGAGAGTCGAACCCACAAGGCACAGAGGCTGCGTCAGCCTCTCGTCTTGGATCACGCAAACCGGCGTTGCGTGGCAATCTACGATCATCCTGACCCTGTTCTGCTTGAACAAGAACCTTGACGCCTGAGGAATATCGGTCGCTGGATAATGCAGGCCGATGTAGGGCTCTAAATCAGCCCGCTTGCTCTCGGCCACGACCTCTCCGTGCTCGTCTTCGTGAAACTTGTACACCATGACACGGTCATAGCCAGTGAGGTCTCTGACGCTCTCGACAACAGTGTCGCAGAGAAGCTTAATGTCGCCTCCGGGCAGTGACTGCAACTGGGAAATAGCCCGAACCGCGAGTTTCTGCGACTGGACCGCACCAGCTATGGAAAGCGCAGGGTCCTCGGTTCTTGCGGGCTCTAAATCAATCACAATCCCCACGTCGATCCTATGAAGAATTGCGTAAAAGGGTTTCCCAGTGTTCTTAGAGTGGATCCAAACCGGGTTCAGGAGCGTGATTTCGCGGGCCACGAAGGCGCGTTCCAGGAGTACCGTGCTGGAGGGTGTGAACAGGGACCGCACGTCCGTTCCTATAGCCAGAATCTCGGGCTTCTCGATGCTGGGGACCGACTGCGGCATGAGCCCAAGCATTTCCCGCGCGTTTTCGCTGTAAGAGATGATCTTGAACGTTGACTCGTCGACGGCGATCATGCAGCCAAAGGGTTGGATGTAGCCGCCGCGTTGGATCTTCGAGAGGTAAGCGGTGATCTGCTTCTCCGGGACGGAGGAACCGTACGTCGTCGTTTTGAGGGAGCGGGAATAGTCGAAGGACTTGCCGGATTCGCCGGACTGCTCGAAGACGGCGTGAAGCCTGGCGTCTACGGTGTACTGTTGTATGGCTTTGCTCACTGACTCGGTGTTGTTCTGCGGCCTTAGGGCTCTGGTCCCAGACGACTGAGCTTGTCCACTCCGGTGGGTGTTTGAGCGCTCGACGCGGTGCTGCGACGACGCTGCTTCTCCTCCACCGCCGGAGGCCATGCCGTTGCTTCGCTGTCGCCTTGTCGTTCGGATTGAGAATTTGGCGGAGTTACCGCGAAAAGACGGAGAATTTCGCCGTTAAAGCTTGTGGGTATATGAAATCAGGAGGTATGGATGGACGAGAAGTGGTTCTCGGAGCCGAATTTTCACCTGGGCCTGGGCGGGTCTGGAAGAAGATTTTCTGAGCTACCAAACAAGGAAAAGGAAAATTCCCTGAATTTAATCGGAAAAAAGCGGGGTATTTCTGGGGGAATTATTCTCTGAATTCTGCTAAGAATTGAAACCGAGAGGCATTGAGGGACGGAATTATCAGGCGGAAGCATCCAAAGGCTGTCAAGTAGAAAATATCTGCGATTTTCTCAGGAAAGCGAGTGAGAATACAAAGGGATGAAATCTTTCTCAAGGTGGAGAGCGAAAGAATGGGGAATTTGAAATCGGGAAAGAAGTAGGAATAATCAATGGATCAAAAAGAAGGAGACTTGGCTCCTGAAGCCACCGGATGGATGAAGCAGAGGAGCGAGCAGACGAGAGAGCCAATGTCCTCTGTCCTCCTCCTCATCTCCTCTTTCGCCACTTTTATCCTCGTAACATTGGAAAATGACCCCCAAAACTTTGTATTATTATCAGATTAACCCAAAAGTGGACTCCTCCTCCGAGTGGCTGAACTCGAGATATTTTTTGTTTAACTTTAAAAAAAAAAAAAAATACTTTTTTTTTTTTTTATTATAGGGCTGTGATTTGTGAATATGTGGTCGTTTTCTGAGAGAGGAAGATCCAAAAGTTAGCCCCGAAATCACGTGGGCTTTGCTTTATTCCCGAGAGCTGTGGCCCGTGGCCAGATCCCTTGATTTAAAATTTCTAAAATAAAACCGAGTAGACACATTCATACAATATAAAGGAGAGTATATATTCATTTAGGTTTAGAAACTATAATGATAATAATATGTAGTTAACTATACTATATTTCTTCCCCTGGAAATAAAACAATTCTTTAGGTTTCCTTTACTTTTACTGTTTAGTACGATCTCATTCAAGATGAACTAAGATTAATTTGAATTTATGAAATTTAAATATACCGATGTATAATTGAATGTCATTTATGATACTTTGTGGTCTGTAAAAAACTATAATATATTTCTTTTTCTTCTTCCTTTGCTATTTGCCATTCACATAAATATGAAAATTTCAAAAAAAAAATTGATATCCAGGATGATTTCTAGATCTTCGATCCGACTACATCCACATTGATTCGGGATCAACTTTGTATATAAACCATTTTGGTCCAAAAAATACATCATTCCGACCAGTAAAATTAAATCCAAGATTTTGGAGATGATTTTATCACTTTTTAGCCGATCACTAACTGTGAATCAATCTTTGTATACGAACCATTTTGATCCAAAAATTATATTTTTTTCTACCAGTAAAATTGAATACAGGACTTTGAAGAGGCAAAATAACAAAAATAACCTTAAAAATGACAAGAGTAACATGCATAACCTTAGAATCTCTAGGGTTTCCCAAAAAACCAATATTTTTAATAAAATTACGGAAATACCAGAATAACTAGTCTGACCAAAAATTTTTGGTATGACCAGTATGACCAAATTCAAATGGTATGACCAGTTTGACTGAATTTCGATTAGTTTGACGTTACGAGAAACAATTGGTATCAGAGCAAGGTAACGATTATGGACAACGAAAAAATTGATTTTTCGAAGGGATTACCATTAATATTAACCAATGAAGATGAATGTTATCCCGGATTTCCTTATAAGGGAAAGGTGATAACAATACCTAAAAATCTTCATAATCAAAGCCGATATTATATTGGTACCATCTTTGATGATGATACTAATCATAATCTCGGAAATAAAATAAAGAAAATAGGTTTTACCCTAAATAATATTGTTGAAATGATTTCCTATGGAATCATACATCAAAATCCAGAAAATCATGAAGAAATAAAAAGAAATATTGAAAATATAAAATCAGATCTAGAAAATCAGCTACAAAAATTAATAAAAATATTTGAACAAAACCATGAAAAACAAAATGAAACTGAAAATATAAATAAAAAATTAGAAGAAATAATATATCTACAAGAAAAAAGTATTAAAGAAATAAAACAAAACTCTGAGGAATTAAAAGAATATATTAAAACAATAATAGGATGACAGAAACTATGAAAGAAACTATAGAAAAAATAATTAAAGAAACAACAGCTGAAATAAAAGAATTACTACTAAATATTAAAGAAATACTCACAACAACAAATAATTACAGTAATAATAACAGACAAATTCAAATAATAAAAGAACTTAACGAAGCTAAAGAATTAGTAAATAATATTATTACACGAAATAACGGAAAAGAAATAATGGATCCAGATAAAAATGAAAAACCAAAAATATTAGAAATAATAGAACAATTACAAGAAATAATCGAACGACTTAACCAAAATAGATATATCACTATAAAAGACTTACAAAATTATTTTAAAAAAGAAACAAAAGAATTAATTATTATCGATAAATCTAATTTTCGAATTAGATCACCACCAAAGATATAATGGAAGGACTAGATGATCAGATAGAAAGATTATCAACATTATTAGCGGCTCTTAATATACCCGAAGAAGAGCAACCTGATGAAACTGAAAAAATT